TGTCAATCATCGATTGCCATTCTCCTTTAGATCGTTGACTGCAGCGAATGGACTATGAACGAATGTATAGCTGACACTGTTGCCTATTCTAGGACTTGTTCATCTGAATCTTCGATATAAATCCACTTGTCTCTGACGTGGACTTCATCTTTGAATCATTGGCACTCTTTCCATCTAACAAACTCCTATCAGTCTCTTCACTGAGCCTTGTTCATTCAACTTTAATTCGTGAAGCGTGAGTTGTGACCATTCCGTTACCAAGACATCACCCCTGATGATTGTGACCCCCTTCATAGGGTTATTCTCCTGCACTCCACATTCCGCAGCACTAGCCTAGGGGTGAAGACGTTGACTCGTACTTCATCTCTTCGTTGGTATCCAACAGAATCTCAATTCATCGGATCATTCCTGCCTAGATGCCAGTCTTGCCGACACGGTAAGGGTTGCATTGTGCCCTCTGCCTGAAGGTTCTTTTCTGGGTTAGTATTTCTCCGAAGGACTGATGACCCTTTTTTTTTGGATGAACATCAACATACATCTCTACATTCTACCCGCTGTCCTTCCTTCATCACGCTCTCTTGCTTTCCTGTCACTTGAACGTTACTATCTTTTAATCATTTCTTTTTATCGGCCTCCGCTAATCTTAATTTTCTTCGGCTTTAGCCTTCGAATACTTCTTCCTCGGACCTCCTGGCCACTTTTCCCAGCATTCGAACTATTGTTCCACGCTGATCCACTCATTAATCGTTACAACTCATCCGTCACTCATTCCAATACACTAATACCACGACTGTCACTCTCTTAATTCCGTCGTTGCCTGATAGACCCGTTCTTCAGGCTTCCTTTCATTGAAACTCGGCAACACAAAGCTCATACATCAACTTGTCCTTCTTCGGTCGATCCAAGTACTTCCGCAATCATGGATTACCATCGCAACTACCGTCCTTGCCCCACCTTCTTCGTGGAAGAAGACTACGGCATGGAAAGTCGCATTCGGCAAGAGCGGCAGGCGAAGCAGGAGCATGACAAGCAGATGGCTCGTGAGCGTCAGTATGCCATGGCAGATGAGCTGTCTAATCTCACTTGTGAGCAGCTTCGGGACGATGTCCTGAGCCACATGTTGGAAATGGATGTACGTTTGATCAGATTCATGGCTTTCTTTCCAAGGTTATATGTTGCTAACCTAATCATCGCATAGAATCAAACCCTGCCCGACGTCGAGTCTATTGACATCCAAACCGAGATCCAATGGTTCATGCGCCCCTACCTTCTTGACTTCTTGATCGAGGCCCACACTGCGTTCCAGCTTCTCCCATCCACCTTGTTCTTGGCGATCAACCTTTTGGACCGATACTGCTCCAAGCGTGTGGTCTACAAGCGTCACTACCAGTTGGTTGGCTGTGCAGCTCTACTCATCGCGGCCAAGTACAATGACAAGAAGGATCGTGTCCCCACTATCAAGGAGTTGAAGTCGATGTGCTGCTCTCTGTACGATGACGATATGTTCACCCAGATGGAATGGCATGTCCTCCAAACTCTTGGCTGGTCCATTGGACACCCGACTGTGGATGCTTTCTTGCAGCACGCTGTTTTGGACGATCCTTACGACCCCGAGGTGGAACACATGGCTCTGTACATCCTGGAGATTGCCTTGTTCCACCGGGACTTTGTCGCCAAGTTATCATCCGAGCTTGCTCGTGCCGCCCTTGCGTTGTCGCGCTGCATTCTTAACCGACCGCAGCCCCGTCACACTCACTGGTCATCGCAGTACGACTCGACGACTCTTGTTGCCTTATCCCAACAGTTGCACCAGCCCTCCACCGTGGTCGCCCGCAAGTACGCTTCCCCTCACTACTCTCGGGTCTCAAAGGTCATGGAGCACTTCCTCCAACGCCAGGCTTCGCTGGCAACCTACGCCCGTTGTACCCCTCCAGTCGAGACTCCTATCGATTCCAAGCCGTACAATGGGGAGATTGGCCTTGCCACCCCTCAGAAGTCTCAACAGTTAACAGCTATTCCCCATGGTTACCTCACTCCTCCCATCACGCCGGACAATGAGGCACTTGTGCATGCTCATGCACAAATGGCGAATCACGATCTGACCCGCGGAATGCCCACTGTCCACAATGGCTGTTCCCCTTCCCCCGCGCCATCCGCTGAGATGCAATATATGAACAGCGAAGCATACCAGCAACAGCAGGAGGCTATGTACATGGCGCAGCAAGCAGCGCTCCAGCAGTTCCCTCTGGCACCTACCCACATGGGAATGAGCCAAACCTATCAGGGTGGGATGTAAAAGAAACGACGGAACGAACAGCAATCCAAATGATATTTGGTCATTGCACATATTTCCAGCACTTCATTTCATTTCTCTCATCTTCAAGGGAATTACTCAAGGGAGCCTCCGATTCCGCATTGATTCACCTCGATATCTCATCTTAATACTCAATGCGCCACACCAGCTGTCGGCCTGTGCCATATTTCCCGAACTCAACTGCATCCACTTTCGTCCTTTACGCTTTGCATTCGGCTTTGGTCTTACGAAACCAGAGTCGAGACCAGCCCTTCACTTCCTGTTCCAAAAATTGCATACCCATTTGCTCCCCATACCCATTAGTTTTGGGTCATCAGTTGCACTTGATTTAACCATCTAGCATTGCGAGCGCGAGCCATGTTGATTTATTTGTTTCTCAAGAATACATTCTGCTGCTTTTCACCCCCTCGTCATATTAACTTCTCTTCTATCTGTCGGGGAATACCATGCACCCTCGACACCTTGTATTTCTGCATGCCAATTGGCGCTGCGTTTTTGATATCCCCACCCCCCTGCCCTACCACGATCCTTAGCAGCATGACTGCCTTCCCAATTGCGCCCCCAGTCCCCAACTCTACCCCTGCGCCCTCGAAAACCCCTCCAAACTCGTTTTTCATGTGCCTCTTTCCTCACGTTGACATTTCTGCGCAACGTGCATGAATCAGCCTCTTGTCTGGTGACATCCAGCTATCTGGCACTCCGGGAGAGCAGGTTTATAAAGGTCACAAAAAAAAGCAAAAAAAGTGTGAAAACCCGGAAAAAATTATATGTCTTCTGGGGAGGAAAGGCCACCGAGTCCATAATTTCGTTGGACTCAGAAGGTGCCTTTTCTTTTCCCTCTGCTCTCCTCTTCCTTTGTATCTAGCCCTTGACACATGCCCTGAATGCCCGCCCGTCATCCATTATTGGAGACGGGAGGCCAGGTGCCTTTTTTTCTTATATCTTGTGTGGATTTGGAAATGGGGTTGTCGGTTTTGCCGCTTGGCCCTGAAATATATCCCATTTTCAGTGAACTTTTGGATGCTGTAGAATTGTAGTATTTTGGCCTTGTAGAGTACTGTCTTGCTGCATGGTGGCCATACACATAGTTTCTACCTCATCCGGTTTCTGTATGTTGCTATTCTCTAAATCTCAGCTCCGATGCCCATCCCCTTGCTCTGGATATATTGCTACTACTGGTCCTTTTTTTCAATGTCGTACTTTTTAACAAACTCCCACTAAATACATGCAATCCTCGAGTCTCTTCCAAAGTATATTTCGTCTCTCGAACAGATATATATTATAGAATAATCTAATTCCAATGTTGTCTATAAAACAATGTCAAAACCCGAGGTAATGTGTGAATAAAGCGGACAGAACTCTCGTTTAAACCTCCCTCCCCTTGCTCCTCGGACAAAATGCTCATATATATCTCACCATGATCGAGCCTTGTTCGTATAACATATGGAACAACTTTGTTCGAATGACAAATTAGCACCAGATAGTTATGCAGGTTTTATTGTTCAGTAACACATAACTTCCCCACTTGCCCCCAATAGTTAGCAATTGCTGCGGCTCGAAAGTTCCAAGGGGCAAAAAGTGGAGGATGGACTGCTTATGACACTTTCCATTCTAAGGCGAGCTAGATCCTTCTACGGCTGAATTGGAGGTAGGTCATTCGAAAGGCGCCATATTCCTTCAGGCTTGCTTATGGCAATAGGGTTTGAAAAATTACAAAATACAATATGCTTGAGAAAACTATCATTAAGCAGGTTGATTCTAGCGGTGAGGCAAGCTTAGAATATATTTTGAAGGGTTGCAGTTAATGTATACAACATAATTTACAGCCAATCCCCCCAGGTCGATGTTATTAATACTGTTGTACAAAACTAAACGAAACAGCCACAAAGTGAAGATTAATTAGATAATTAAACACTGATATTTCTCTTGAGAATACAATTTCGCTCATTCGCAATAAATCCAGATCCAGCAGATCCAATAATACCCACGCTATGCATCGCAACAAACAAAACAAACAGATAAGGTGTCAAGCCAATTAGCCCAGTATGACCATGCAGCTAGCTGCTAGGTAACAATGCTGAGAGGGAGACACGTGTTCAACAGTAACCAGTAGAGTTGGAAGGGTAGAAAGTAGAAGGGGGAAGGGAGGGTAAGAAGGAAAGGGAGAGACAGGTATAGGAGATCACAGACAGTGAGCCCTAACGGAGAGTAGAGAGGGGAGACAAGACAAAACAAAGAGTAAAACGCCTCCAGAACTCCAGAATAATGATACAAGGGGAAGTAGACAGCAAGAAGTGGGGACTTGAAAATCCGGGGAGACGCAGGGATTGAGGTTGGCGAGGCAATAAAAAAGGAACGGCACAAGAGCGCCGAGAATCCGAGAAATCCATAGAGAATCCTCCCAGCACGTCCCGATTTGGTCAGGGGCAGAGAGGAAAAAAGGGTGCGGTGACGAGGACGAAAAAAGGGGGTTTTGGCGTCCAATTAACTCCCCAAATAATCATTGCCGATCATCGCCTCACTTTTCACTTTTTTTTTTTGGTTTTGGGGGTCTTTCTTTTGGTCTGGACCTCTTTTCGCCATTGTAACGCGCGTGTAAAACGCTGGGATCCGCGTTTGCTCTGGCGAGAGCCACCTACGTATGCAATTGAAGCAATTGCATAGGCAATTCAAGTTGTAAGAACAACTACTTCCAGCGTTGTTTGTCCCAGTCAGAGGTCCGCGTTTCATCGTAGATTCGGCCGCCCTTGTTGTGGACGACTACCGGAGGTTTGCGGACTGGATTGGTTGCTGGGATCTGCATTAGCTTTGGGCTGAATCTGGGGATCGGGGACAGGGATGTGCACTTGACATACTCAGACTCCGGACTTCGGTGGCTACCACTTGGTCATTGCTGCTCCCTCTGCTAGCTAGCGTTGAGTTGGAATCATTGACTTTGTGTGGCATTGTGAATGGAGAGTAGTAGGGATGATTTGTGGTTTGAAGGTTGATGGAGATGATGACGAAGAGGAATATTAGGATATTAAAAGAGGTAGAGAATAAAGAGGTAAAGAGATGTATAGAAAGCGTCAAGCTTGAGGAACACAGTGTTGAACTGTGAGCAGATTATAAGAACAATAAAAGGTATATGGACACAAGATGGAGAAACGGAAAAATATAAAAAGAAGATGGGTGTTGTTGATGTGCTGTGGTTTGGTTGATAGTGAATCAATATGAGGGCAAACGACTTCTTTTTGTATAGCAAGCCATTCCACATTGAGCTTCACCCGATCTACACTCTGGGGAACTTCGAGCTTCCCTTAGTGTCAAAAAGAGCTCGGAATGGATCATCCCCCTGACGTATTTGGTGCCTGGTAATTACCACTGCCACGATTGAAGCATTGATTGGTCTAGAGAGTCGACCTAAAGTAGGGCAACCAATAAGGAAGAGAAAGTTACTAGGGAAATAGACCAAGTATGCAAGATACGGTAATATTACCAATAATGATGAGTCAGCCATTCCTAGCTCCAGCCCTGGAGCTATTTACAGAATTGGACTGGTCGTGTAACTAAACAAAATATCTTACTAAAAGGGAGATTCCTTCACCGCTAGGATTACTGCGCCAATGGCGGCTGTACAAAGTGCGTGTATTTAGTGTCACTAGGGAGTACATAGCCAGGGGCTTCCCTTTCACACCGCAATTGGAGCTCCACTTGTCTACGGAGTACATCGTCAGGTCTTATTATTTATTGACACTCATTATTGTGCCAATAGTCAGGAGACTGCCTAATCTTAGGCTCCATCGGAAGATCTGCCCCGATTCATACAGGGTCATCCCATAAGGAAATAATTATGAAACTTAGGTACATATACATCTTACCTGTAGAGCTATGCATAAACAAGTCATAGTCTCGTTGGTAGGGACACGCATGTGCGTCATTCCATTCAGACCGAGATTCTAGCCCTGGAGTCAACCCTTTCCTGGTCAATCACTTTCCAAGCTAAGTATACCCCGGGCTTCCCCAGCAACGCCTGAACTAGTAATGAGATTGCGCGTGTGGATTGTCTGACCCTTCTGACCTGGTCCCGTGGACACCGATAATCAATCCCGGATGCTAGACCAGCCTCCCCCGAAATCGTAAATCGTGTCAGCTCTGTCCGCCCTCTCGCTTCATCCGGTCTTGCCACCCATTCATACTCCGCCGAATCCCCAACGTCCGCCGCGGTGCTTGTTGAATCATTGACATCGACGTGCTGTGGAACGTCGACACCGGCTGGAACCCGCGGGTGGAGCTTTCGGGTTTCACCTCGTCTGCCCCGGCTGTCCCGCCTGCGGGTGTATTGTTGCCGCTCTGTTCCTGCGTCATGGACACCCTGGCAGGTTTCAGGGTTGGTTTCGATGGAGCTGCCAGCCACGTGTAGCCATTAGAATTCGTAGGCTCCAAGGTCGGGCGCGTTGGAACAAGTGGTCGTGGTTGGACACGGTGAGAGGAGAGAGGGGCTGGGACAATGCTTCTTGCCCCTGAAAGTTGGTTCTGTGACGGTGGTCCTTCGTATCGGCGAGATGGTGGCTGTGGATAGCTGGGCAGAACTGGTTCCCTCTTCTGGAGGGATCCTGGGCCTGCAAAAAAGTTGGATATGCTTGCTTGCGTGAGTCCGTCTTTACGGATGGCGCTGCTGAGCGGTTTCAGTTTGTTTGCTCCAGCTGCGTCTGCATCTGCATCCAGAGGCTTAGAGGCTGACTCCGCGGGCGGTTCGGGGTTGGCCGCTATGTAATCCCGGGCAGATGTAAAGCCCGATGAAACGGTTGTAGGAATTGTAAACCCTGTTGATGAGAAGTAGGTGGTCGATTTTGGCCCCTGGTTCATGTCTGACCGTCGTCGCTTTGGGTTGGGCTCACCAGAGGCGTCATGAGATGTAGACGCGCCGTCGATTTTGCTGCGGTCTTCCTCGCCCTCGGGTGTCCATCGGTCGTCCAGCGTCGATGGAAGAAACTCGAGCCCCTTGTAGATGTCTTCTAAAGAGGGCCGAGGGCGACGCAGAATATCGGCAATTGCATACACCACCTTTTCATGAAGAGACGGTCCCGTTGACCGAAATCGTGATTTGGTCAACTTGGGAGGAAGGAACGGCGTCAAGGTGGTCGCACCGTCTTCTCCTTCCCCTAGCCGGGGTTGTCGAATAGGAATACTCAGGTATAACAGCGCCTGTGCTCTTGTCATTGCGACATACAGCAATCGTCTCTCTTCTTCTACCACCTCCGCACGTGAGTGAGGAATGCTCCCGTTGTATACAGCGGGAACAAACACAACTGGCCACTCCAGGCCTTTGGCAGCGTGGATAGTTGAAATAGTGACTTTCTCCGTCGGTTGATCTCCTTCCTTGGCCTCTTCTTTGGTTGTGATCTCCGTAGCCAAGGCGACATTTGCCAGGAACCGAGTGAGAGCCTCCTCGCCAGGATGTGCCTGTTGCTGCTCCACGCCTTCGATTACAGGGAGATCCATTTCTTTATCAACCTCCTCTTCTTCAAAGGCTGCCACCTCAGTGGCTTGATGCATCAATTCCTTGACATTCGCCCAGCGACTGTCTTCGTCAAGGGGATATGTTCTGATGAGATATTCCTGGAATGAGAGACGTTCGGCAATAAATTCAATCAGAACACGAGGAGCCGATGCATCCTCACACTCTTGCAACTTCTGTCTAGAGGCTTCAATCAAATTGACCAAAACGCAAAGTCCCTGCTCTGCGGCCTTTTGCAGTTTCTTCTCAGTCGAACGGCGTCCTTGGATGACATCTTTGATGAAGTTCCACAGTGGAATTTTGGCCTTCTCCGCACCACTAGTCAATTGCTTGATTGTCTCATCGCCAATCCTTCGTGGCGGAACATTCACAATATTCATCAGTGCGTCCGAGTGTCCCGTGTGGCTCACAACCCTCATATAATTGAGTAGAATCTTGACTTCAGTTCTGTCAAAGAATTTGCGGCCTCCAACCATCTTGTATGGTATACCCGCTCTTCCAAAGGCCGTCTCGATCTGTGTAGACAGCGCAGCCGACCGAAGCAGGACGGCAAAGTCAGACATCCGCAATAGACCGCCGGTCATCGCTGCACATCGCTTGATCTCAAGTACCATCCACTGCGCCTCTGCGTTGGGATTTGGGAGCCTTCTCAGCACCGGCAAGGTTCCGAAAGTGTGGGTAGCCAGGAGTGCTTTTGCAGGCCGGCTTGTGTCCTGCTCAATCACTTCTTGGGCTGCATTCAAGATAGAGCCCGCAGAGCGGTAATTGTCTTCCAAGAGTACAATCGTTGTGTTTGAATATAGCCGCTGCATCCTCTTGAGATTCTGGATCTCTGCAGAACGAAATCCGTAGATGCTTTGATCTGGATCTCCGACGATGGTGATCCGTCGGTTCTTAGATGCGAAGAGATTCATCAGTTCATATTGTATGATATTAGTGTCCTGGAACTCATCCACCAAGACGGCCTGCACATTTGAAACACATTCTGGGTGGTCTCGGAGCAGATCTCCACATCGCAGAAGGAGGTCATCATAATCCAAGAGATTGGAGGCCGCCAGTGCTGATTCGTATTCACGATAGATATCAACAAGCTCCGCCTCCTCTGCTTTCGCTCTATCGGCCACGGCATCAGGAGTGAGTCCATGTGCTTTATGTCGAGAAATTCGGCCTTGCGCCGCCTTGACTTCAATGCTAGACTTCAGTCGTTTGATGGTTCTCTGCGATCACGATTAGAGAAGGGAAACAAACTGATAGAATATAAAAGTGCGAGTCATACTCTGATAATTGCGCGGCTATCATCCGAGTCCGCAATGCCAAACCCCTTCCGAAGACCAATCAAATACCCATACTTGACCAAGTAGCGGCGACAGATGGAATGGAAAGTGCCGAGAATCAAGCGCGATTCGAGTTTTTCTCCGATGAGTTTCGCGAGTCGCTCGCGCATCTCCCGGCTGGCTTTGATCGTGAATGTGCAGCAAATGACATCTTGAGGTTGGTATCCATGATGCGAGAGGAGGTACGCGACGCGTGCGGTCAACGTTTTTGTTTTGCCCGAGCCCGGTGGTGCGAGCACTTGGAGGATTGAACCGGAGGAAGTGACAGCTTCTCGCTGGGCATGATTCAAACCATCTAAGATCGGATCCATGACATGTGGGGTGTTTGACCAATGCGCGGGTGCTTATGATGAGGAGACGCGAGAAAACGCGATGTCATGTGACACTTCCGCTCTACATGAAGTCGATTGTTTGAACAATTAATGGAATTGGAAGTTGCTAATTGTCTCTAAATTGTGAAACTTTGATAATTTAGATAACGAGATGGCATTGACGGGGTAGTTGTGAGATAGCAAGCCTCGAAGGCATCTGCGGAGTGCATGGTTACGGGCTGAATAGGAGGATGTTTGGCCAGAGTATTTCATGTCCAATTTTGTGGCATATAAACATCTTATACGCCTAATTTGGCTAGCTCAGCTTCATGATATATTCTGATAGCCTTGAGCGCTCTGTATTTACTATAAAAATGGAAATTCAAATGTTATGATGATCTGATACTAAAAATGAGATTTTCATACTTTCAACCTTCTTCCTGCATTTTTAGTAGGCATTGACATAATCTTGAATCTTATTTAATATGACTAGTACCTGAAGATGTAATTTTCATAGGCAAAAGCGCAGTTCACTGGTCTTGATGGTTGCATTCCGTGCTTCGTTTTCACTATCTATATTATACGAAGAACAACCGACCAGTGGGTAGGCGAGTCTCTATATTGTATAATCGCTTCCAAACTGAAGCCTTATGCTACCCAAAATCCTTATTAGTACATAATTAGCGCCATACTGTTACCAGCTCTTTGGTTCTACTCCGTACTCCATACAAGACTGAGAACTCCACCATGGAATTACCGAGATTGGCAGGTGCTGCTCAATTCCACTCGATCCAAAGAAAC